TAAAGAAAATGTTTGAGGAAACGGTACTGATGAGTGATGTAGAGTCAAGGAGAGCCGTTTAACTAAGTCAAGGTTGATGAAACTCTCTGAGCTGCCACTATCAATAGACCATCTACTTCTGTTCCTTTGATGAATACTTTCACAACTGCCTTTGACAGTGAATTTGGAGTAGCCGCAGAAGTCACTGTTGCTAGAGTCGCATGATCACTAGAATGTATGGAGGCACTAGCTCTTGTTGATGCATTAGCACGACATACTTTAGCAAAGTGACCTTTCTTATGGCATTTATGGCACATTGCTTCACGAGCAGGACACTTTGGACGTGGATGTCTTGAAAAACCACAAAGAAACACACCGTACCTGCTGCTGCTGTCACTGAGGCAGGTTCCACAGTAACTTCATTGCAAGAGTCTTGGTCAGCAATTGCAGCACTTACCACTCGAGAAGGCTGAGTGGTACTGTATACTTCAGAATTCTTCTGGGCTGAATCTAGAGCTCTTGCCTGGTCAAAGGCAGCGGCTAAGTCGAGAGTTTTATTCTCCAATAAACGCTGCCTTATTATTGGTGATTGCAGGCCACTGATAAAAGCATCCCTGATGGACTCTTCACAATACTGAGCAGCTGCCACTGCTTGGAAGTGACAGTCCTTACCTAAAATTTTCAGTGCTTGAAAGTATTCCTCTAAGGATTCATCAATCTGCTGGCAGCGAGTTGCAAGGCGATAGCGTGCAAAGATTTCATTTGTAGGTTTAATATACTGAGACTTGAGGGTTTTGATAGCATCTTCGTAGGTATTACACTCAGAAATAGCCTCATATATCTTAGGTGACACAAAATTGATGAGCAGACTTAGTTTATCTAGATCTTCTTTAGGAAGGGCTCCCAAGAAGTTTTCGAAAGTCTTAAACCAGTGCTTCCATTCCTGAGCAGCCGTTGATAAGCTGGGGTCACAGTCTAGCCTCTCAGGTTTCAGTAAACGCTCCATGTTGTGATGTAGTCTAGCGCAGGATCACCACCAGGTAGCCCAGGATTCTATGTTCAATAAATTGTTGTGATAGAAATACAGGCCTTATCTCTAGGCTTTATTGAACATAGAATCTTCATACTACTTCTGCAACAACAAAATATAATGACTAGTACATCTAATAATGGCTTCTACAGGGATGGTGATGTCTTGCATATGTCAAGAGAAAAGTTATAACTACAGGCCACATATTTAAACTCACCATGTAATCTGCATCACTGATAAATGGATATAGTAGGAGAGAATCACACACCATGTGTTGGCGCCCATGACACACACCAAACTGTTGTTGTTGTTAAGGGCCCCAAGAGGTGGTGCAGTATTATCCTGCTGCTGCTCCCCACAGGACCAGTATCACTACACTAAAGGCCAGCCTTCCCCCTGGCCTAATTCCACACCCGCACAATCTCCCACCCCCATAAGCATTGACTTTTCTTTATTAATCTTCATCCCAGTTGCTTTCCCGAAACATTCCACCAATTCGCTTACTTTTCCTAAAATCTTTGCTCCACGAAATAAAACCGTAGTGTCATCCACGTAACCTATAATTCCTGATTGTACCCCCACCTCACCTTGCCTTTCATCCTGTCGTACTATCCCCCGCACGGCTCTAAAAAATGGGTCCTGAATCAATGCAAAAGAATTTGTGATACAGGGCACCCCTGTCGCAATCCCCTATGCATCCTAACTACTTTTCCAACCTACCATTTACCTGCCACTCTTAAAACATTAGCCCCTGCTCGTACAAAAACCGTGCCCAACTAATAATTTCCTTTCCGAAAACCTTGCCCCTGCATAAACTTTCCATAATACTTCTCTCTCCACCCCAATCGTATGAGCGTGCCAATCCAAAGCTATTAATATTCCACCTTTATAAAATACCTCCCGCTTTCCTCATTGAACTGCGAATAATTCATTTGCCCCACACACATAGATCGTCCTGGCACCATATTGTCCCTCGTCCAAAACCTCTCCAAAACTCCGTTTTATCCTATTTCCTAACAGTTTTCGCAAAAATTTTATAATTGCCAGCCACAGAAAGAGATTGCCCTATAATTATGTATATAATCCCAGATCTTTTTTTCGGGACCAGAAACAACAACACCCGTTCTTTGGTGCCTGTCCCTGATGCCACTCTTTTCATGGCATAAAATAACATCACTAAAAAATTGATGAATTACAATCCCAATTTTCCTTGTAAAATTCATCAAGGGATTCCGGTCAATCACCGGTGATTTCCCTACCACTTCATACCCTCCACAGCCAACTATTCTCTTCTTCACTTTAGGTCCATTCAAATCCAACCAGTCCGTGTTACTCTAGGTCACCAGCGTACCCATTCACCCCATTTCACCTAGCTCCCCTTAGAAATCCCAGCATTTTTATATTGCAATTCATACCATGCGTCTACAAAAAGTATCATAGCCTCCGTTGACATAAGGACCTGTCCCATACTAAAAGGCTCCCAATGGTCTGGACTCTAATCTCATTAATTCTGTCCGCCCTTGCGACGTTGCCCTGCTCTTCGCAAGACAAACGCCGAAGGACGGTCACCCCATTAAAAAACCTCATCAATTCATCGCTATCCTCGCGCATCAAAAATACGATTGTGAATGTCCTCCAATAAGCAGTTTTAAATTTGAAATTTCAACCACCGGGGGAATAAACACGCCCCCACCATGCGTTATAACTGCTTGCAGTTGACCTTCAAGATAGTTCAAGAGCATACTGCGTTCTTGTATTTCTTTTGCCTCGCTTGCTGATAAAAATCCTCACCTTCACCTTACCGACAATATCCCCACCATATCAATATTATCAACTCCCCACCCGACATTCAGCCACCATCCCCTCCAAGCACTTCGCAAAAGCTTCCCTCACCACTTCTTTTATGAATTAATCCCACATTCAATTTCCAGAAACCTCTGAAAACACGCCTTGGGTAATCCTACCCAGTCAACATCCGCCATAAACACCTCTGTGATCGGGAAAAGCTCACTTTTAAACACACGTACCACTTCTAACCATTGAACACCTCTAGAAACGTATATGGCGATCAGTCTTGCCGCATACTCCCTTCTAAACGACGTAATGCATGACCCACCCACCATCATCCCCCCATACATCCGTAACATTAACCACTCCGCAATAGATCTCTAAATATCGAAAAAACCTCCTTAGGTTCGACATCTTGCGACGATCAATGCAATTCAATCACCCCAATAATCGGTGACGACTGGCAGCGATCTTAAATGGTACACAACACGTCCTAAAAAAACGTATTTTTTATATGCATGTCACCTTACGGCCGGCGTCCGTATTCACCAGGAAGGCCACCGTACCCCCAACCAAACCCCATCCACCCTAACCACCTCCCCTCCTCTCTACTCAAATGTTTCGCAAAGAAAACGGGATAGCCTCTTTAACTAACATGTAACCACCTTTCAGTCTATTAGAGCTGCCCATGATACAAGATATATTCAAGAAATCAGCAATTCACCTAAAGATTTATACTGTGTTCTTTTAAGAAAACGACATCGGGTACTGATTTATTTACACAAATCCTCCAAAAACTCTTACGTTTTTCAACAGATCGTACGCCCATTTATATTTAAGTAAGACACCTTGAATGTTTTCATTGGAGGTTACCCTGGATACCTTAACAATCTTGGTTCCCTTACGTATATCTCCACTTCTTCCCACCACCCCCCTGTGTCGTTTCTCTTTACTGCTGAACACATTTAGATTTGCCCGTATTTGTCCTTACGGTCTCGTCGCCACCATGCTTTGT